TGAAGTGGGGGCCCTCACGGGCCACTGTCCGATTGGCAGACATGCATCAAGACTGAAAATTCCGTTCAACGACTTCTGCAGAAGCGGCAGAGACGAGGAGGAGGAGGAAAGTGTGGAGCACCTCCTCTGCCACTGCCCGGCACTGAGCAGGCGCAGGCTATGCACCTTAAGGAAACCTTTCTTAAGCGACCTCTCGGAATTAAAAGATGGAGCTCGTGGACTTAGCAAATTTTTTGAATACCACAGGGTGGCTGAAGGCTCACCAACAAAACTAGGGATTACATGGTATCACAATGGGCCTTCTAGGCCTAAGTGGGGGGTGATTATCATCACCCCCGCCATTTCAACCTAACCTAACCTGTACCTGAAGCCCTTGAAAATACGTACCTGAATTCTACCTCGTTATTAAACTGTGATACTTCTTTTAGTTTTATGTGTGTACGTCAATGTGATGTCTTAGATGCAGTTCTTAAAGTGAAGTCCAACGCCATTGGCCTTGATGAGTTACACCCCAAATTTTTAAAATTATTGCTTCCGAAAGTCTTAAATTATATAACTCACATATTTAACTCAGTGCTTACGACATCGTGCTTTCCGTACAAGTGGAAATCAGGAAAAATTATTCCTATCCCGAAAGGAAGCAATGACTTCAGGCCAATCACTATTCTACCATTTCTATCAAAAGCACTTGAACACTTGATGACCAAACAAATTAGCAATTACATGGTAGAAAACTCACTCTTGAGTGATAAACAATCGGGCTTCAGAAGTAATAGAAGTTGTATTACATCATTAATTAAAATTACCGACGATATTAGGAAAGAAATGGACGACAGCAAGGTAACTTTCCTAACCCTACTAGACTACTCAAAAGCTTTTGACTCTGTTAATCATAACATACTGTGTACGAAATTAAAAAGACTTTATAATTTCTCTGACTCAGCTACTAATCTTGTCCAGTCATATTTGTCCTATCGTCACCAAGCAGTAGTTACTTCGCATAATTTTTCGTCTTTTTTATTCATAAAGCGTGGAGTCCCTCAGGGGTCTGTCTTAGGGCCACTATTGTTCTCAATTTATGTCAATGACCTTCCATGTTGTGTGTCTAATTCCGAGTTACACATGTATGCTGATGATGTCCAGATGTATGTTAGTCGTCCGTTATGTAGAATAGATGAATGTATACGTGTCTGCAATGATGATCTCTTCAAAATCAGCAAATGGACAAGTATTAACGGATTGGAGGTCAACCCTAAAAAGTCAAAATGTTTAGTAATATATAAAAAAAAATCAACACACTCAATCTTGAGCAAGTACGCCTCAACAATGAGCCCATTGCGTATGTAGAGCAGGTAATAAACCTGGGAATAAATATAAACCAAACATTAACTTGGTGTGACCATGTCAATAAGGCAGTAGGTAGACTATATAGCGCACTAAGGCGTCTGTCTTTGACGCAGAATTTTTTTCCTGTAAAACTAAAGCTCCTTATTGCTAAAACATGCCTGACACCCTTGCTATTTTATGGGATTGAACTTTTTGGATACTGCGATGCAGTAAGTCAAAACAAATTAAAAGTAGCCTTTAATAGCATAGCTCGGAAAAACATTTCTTTATTTCTGCTGCTCGTCTGTGGAATGATCTTCCGCATAACCTAAAAACAATTAGCAGCGAGACGCACTTTAGAGTTAAGATTCTAGCACACTTACAAAACATTAACTAAATTAACGTTACCAAAAATTATAATATTAACGACACAGTTCAGTAGGCCATTTAGATTAAGTATAAAACTATTAAACTATTCAATTAAAAATATATAATTATAAAGAATAATGAAAATGTTTAATGTGAAAACTAAAACTATGATTAAATTGTAATGACTAGCGTAATAATTTAAAAGTAACCGATACTTGTAACGCTAGGATAAGGTTTATAAATAAATAAATAAATATCTCAGAGACTATAAGACCTACGGACACAAGACTTTAGTCCCAGGTGCCTTATATGAGTGCGCAGAAAATCCCTCCAGTTAGTGCTTATGAGTCGGTATGCCAAGTTTCATAGCAATAGGCCGGCTTAACAGGAAGTTATGGCCATATATGACCAAGCACTGCTCGCAGCTGTTTTTGTTGCTGCTGCTTTGCACAGGAACACGAGACACACACAAACACGCATGATTATTCTACACATATGTACAGATTATTTCAAAGTCGAGGCACCCGACTTGAGCTTCTCCCCTTGTTTCCTTTCGAATGGAACTTTCATTATAAAACTTATCACACAGCATGCATTTATTGTCTATACGTGTTTATATACATGTATGTACGCAGTACAGAATAAGTCAAAGTAGCAACAACAACAGCTGCGGGCAGAGCTTCTTCAGAAAATATATTTATGGTTATAACTTTCTTCGTAATTAACCTATCGTATTACAACATGGCATGCGGACTCATAATCACTAACTGGAAGTATTTGCCAAATCTGAGAACATAATTTCAATAATTTGTTTTGGAAAAAACACGAATTGCGGGGGAGTGGGGGGTGTATCGAATACCCAGTTTGGTTATTCTAGCTCAGGCGGACAGACACACACGGACAGACGGGCATGGCTATATTGAATCGTCTTGTCATGATCAATAATACATTTACTTTTGGGGGTCTACCCTGCCTCCTTCTCTATGTTACATACATTCGCACAAAACTAGTATACCATTTTACCCTTTCGGTACAAGATATAAAAATTAAGAACATTTGAAAACAAAATTTGATCGATTTTACCACTCTCGGTATTTGAACTCACGTAAAGGGTGTATAATTCCACATTTACATAGCAGTTGCGTCTATGTAAGTGTATGCATGTCTATGTGTGTCTATTCGTGTCTGTGTGAGCATATTTTCAGTCAACTGCCAAATCGGTCTATCATGCTGAAACTTGGCATACGGACACATAAGCACTAACTGGGGGTATTTGTAATTTGAGTTCAAAATTCCAAGAATTACGGGAGTTACGGTAGTGTGGTGGAGAGGGGGAGGGAGGGAAATTCCAAAATACATATTTTCTGCGTATTTACATAAGGCATCGTGGACTAAAATTTGGTGTACCTAGGTGTTATAGTCTCCGAGATATAGGCGATTATACGAATGGAAAATCAGGAAAACCCCAATAGGGGGGAAGTGGGGGAAAATCCAAAAAAATAAAACAAACTTGCACAACGTACACACATAACGCCTCCTTGTTTAAAATTTAGTGTCTCTATCTCTTATAGTCTCTGAGATCCAGGTGTTCATTCGGACGGACAGAAAGACAGACAGATATACTTGTAGATCGACTTGTCTTTTGATGCTCATCAGTACATTTCATGTACAGAGTATAACAAGTAGAGAAGCTAAAGTCGGGTATTCCGACTTTGAAATACTCTGTACATATGTGTAGAATAATTAAGCGTGTATGTGTGAGTTTGTGTGTGTCTGGGTATGTCTCGTGTGCCTGAGCAAAGCAGTAATAACAACAACAGCTGCGGGCACTGCTTGGTCATATATACATATATGGCTATAACTTTCTGTTAAATCGGTCTATCATAATGACTCGGACTCATAATCACTAATTTAATGTATTAAAGTTGAGTCGAAAACTTCAAGAATTATGGAAGGAGTTATGGAAAATCACTGATTGTTGAGGAGAGGGTAGAGGGAGGGAAATTCCAAAGTACACATTTTCTGCGTATTTACAAAAGGCATCTTGGTCTGAAATTTGGTGCTCCTAGGTCTAATAGTCTCCGAGATATAAGTGATTATACGAATGGAAAATCGGGGAAATCCTCATAGGAGGTGGGGGAAAATGAACAAAATAAAACAAACTCGTATAGCATACACTCATAAGGCATCTTTGTGCAAAATTTTGTGTCTGTAGCTCTTATAGTCTCTGAGATCTAGGTGATCATACGGACGGACAGACGGACAGACAGACAGACAGACAGACAGGGCTAGATCGACTCGTCTCGTCATGCTGATCAAGAATATATATACTTTGAGGGGTCTGACACGCCTCCTTCATTTCATTTACAGAGTATACAAATTTGCACGAAAGTGATAAAAGTGCAGGCGAACGGCAACTGTTTACACGTTTTGGTACTTTTGGTGTTATTTTCATTAATTGTTGTGTAAGAATATATTTGTCTGGGCAGTAGAGTTGCAAAATAATAGACGTTGGCTGAATCAATCCTTTTCGATTTTGTTGCAATTTTCGCAAAACATAAAATCGATTAATCGGAAAGCTAAACAAAATATGTACATTTTATTGTCGTTTTCGATGAGATCAGACATCAGCTACACTTTCAAGTAATAATGTTTTAATATGGGTATGCATATTTTTTAACGAATAATCGATTCTACAAAAACATCGATGTTTAAAATGTTAAACACGAAGCGATAACAGTTATCGCTTGTCGCCCTGACACGAAAATTTTTTTTTTATCAATATTTTCCTATTTGTAGTGAATGATGATGATTTATTGAGCTCCTTTTTTTACACAACGTAAATTATGTACTTATTATGTATGTAAAGCCGCTCGCTTGCGACAGTAATGTCGCTTGCTTTTGACAGTACACCCTAGCTTAAGCCATTAAGCGTATGCATCATTCATGCCGAAAGAATACAAAGAATAATGCCCAGATGTTTGTTTACTTACAAATATACACATATGTTGCATGTCCACGTTTTAGGGGAAAACAAGTAGAGAAGCTAAAGTCGGGTATCCCGACTTTGAAATACTCTGTACATATGTGTAGAATAATTATGAGTGTGTCAAATCTGCACGCCGATTCCACGGTTTAAAATAAACCAAAATTATATTACTTTCAATAATTTTTACAAAATTGACTTTTTGAGAATACCCTTTATCAAATTTACTAACCAAGGGTACCCCTACCCCTTTCTTGAAATTAGTTCAGTTCAATTGCTTATCCGAAAAATGTTGCGAATTTTTTTACTTTTTTTGTTAATGTTCGTTTACGTATTTAAAGTACATTGCTTTGACACAATTAACGACAATGATCTTGTACACGTTTTAACAAGCCAAGAAAATGTTATCGTTTTGTTTATAAAAACAAATTGTCCAGAGTGTATGCAATATGAAAAAATCATATCGAATATGAAGACTGAATTAAAAGAAGTTCTGGGAGCTACTGTTGTTAAAGCTCACGATAGTAATCTTGTTTCTATTTATGACCCAGCTAGGGAGCCTGCATTGTTATTTTTTAGGCGCGGCATCCCTCTTTTATATTATGGTGATATTAAGCAAGACGAAATGATGCAGTTTTTCAGTAGTAATAAGGAACCTGTCGTCAAAGAGCTGTCAGATGATACCTTCGAGCACTTGACTCAATCTTCGACTGGAGCTACAACTGGAGATTGGTTTGTGTTTTTGTAAGTATAAATCATTGGTTATGTATTTTGTTTATTATATGTATATTATATGTACATAAAATGTACGGAGTATATTAGGTTTACGCGAGCTGAACAATGTAACAGGCAGAAGGAGGCGTGGCAGACTCCACAAAGTATATATATTCTTGATCTGCGTGACAAGACGAGTCGATATAGCCCTGTCTGTCTGTCAGTATGAACACCTGGATCTCAGAGACTATAAGAGTTAGAGACACCAAATTTCACAAAGATGGCTTATGTGTGTGTGCTATGGAAGAGTGTTTTTCAAGTATGTTTTATTGGTTTCACCCCCCCCCCCCCCACAGTTACATTTACAGTTTCACTATAATAGACCGATTTAACAAAAAGTTATAGCCATAAATATATTTGCTGCTCAAGCGCTGCCCGCAGCTATTGTTGATGCTGATGCTTTGATTAATTGCAAACATGCTTACACAGACACGAATAGACGCGCATAAACATAAATGTGCAATTACACACCCTTTACGTGAGTTCAAATACCAAGAGAGGTAAAATCGATCAAAAATTTTTTTTTGAATACTCTTACTTTTTTTAATTTTCGAAGTCGGGACACCCGACTTTATTATTTTTACTTGTTTTTAATAATAATAAATTATTACAGTTATTCTGATAAGTGTATATCGTGTCAGCGTCTTTATGCTATTTGGGAGTCTGTTGCCGCACATCTTAAAAGAAGGTTAAATGTTGCACGTATAAACCGAATGGAAGCTGGCATTTCTACAGCCAAACGGTTCAAAGTAGTGGAATCATCGTCACCTGTGTTTATTCTGTATGTAACATACGTATATACATACATATAATGGAAACTTATATTAGTACTCCTTTTTTTCTTCATTTGGACCCAGATTTCGGCAAGGAAATTATTACCAGTACGTCAAAAGAGAATACAGTGCGACATCTTTAATTGAGTTTGCAGAGACTGGCTACGTTAAGATAAAACCTAAGCCTGTACCTGCGATGCCAGACACTTTGGAGCAAATGTTTTTGATAATTTTTCAACATATCAACACACGACTTTGTCCAGCGATTGGAATTGTGTTGATATTTGTAATTCTCATTCTTTATTTTATTAAACGATTTTTTATAAAAAATATCCAGAAAGATGTAAGAAAAAAGTCAAAATAGATTATTATATCGCTTGCAAAACTGTAATAGCACACGTAACGGGTAACTGCAGGGTTCCCAATGAACTTTTGAAATGATTATCTTTTAAAAATCCTGTACCTACAACTTCAAAGTTTTAAAAATTGTACACCCTATATCCAAAGGGTATAAGGGTATGCTAGTTACATTAATTTATTTGAAATTGAAATGAATTACAAATATACAATTTATACACTTCGAGAACACGTGTACTGGCGAGAATTTGTTTCGCTAATAACTTTTCTTAGAATTGACCGAATTGAATAAAATTTTGAACAACAGTAGACAATATATTAATTATGTGTGCAAAGTTTGGTTTAGGTAGCATTTGAAATGTGGACGCTATTGATGAAATTCTGCAGCGGAAGGGGGGGGAAAATTAAAAAAAAAAAATAAACTCGTCCTTACTCGGACCTAGGAGAATCTGGATGCCAACTTTGGTTATTCTAGCTTTTATAGTTTCTGAGATCCTCGCGTTCATCCAGACGGACGGACATGTCTAGATCGATTTCTCTCGTCATGCTGATCAAGAATATATATACTTTATGGGGTCGGAGATGCTTCCTTCTGTATGTTACATACTTTGCACAAACCTAATATACCCTTTTTACCCTACGGGTACAGGGTATAAAAAATTTATCTACGGTATTATTCCCACAAATTGCAGCATCAAGTTCTCTCTTCTTCATTTTCCTTCTGCTATGGGCGTTCTCACTTGTTATACTCTGTACATGAAATGTTCAAGAGTATACTAGGTTTGCGCGAGCTGAAAAGTGTAACAGGCAGAAGGCGTTGCAGTATATATATTCTTGATCAGCATGGCAAGACGAGTCGATCTGGATCTCAGAGACTATGAGAGCTAGAGACACCAAATTTTGCACAAAGATACCTTTTGTGTGTAAGTTAACACATCCAGCCGGTCATAAGTCAGTGACCGCTCGATCATGCAGAATATGAACGATTTTGGGCATGGTCATAAATTTAAGCGCATGACTCGTGCACGCGTACTTGCATAGTTGTGCGTAAGCAACACCAGGGCAACATAATGGAACACCACGATCCGTAATAAAACTAAATATAAACACCTCTGAACTTGATGTGAAATTCCATATTACTAACCAACTTCTGCTTACTGATATAACCGAGCTAATTGTTAGAAAGTTCAATTTTAAACAGAGAAGAAGCTACTTCTCTTTCAAGGTTGACCTGTCTGAGTCACTATTTTCTAAGGTTATAGATCCTGTTTTTTGGCCTGAACATACTATTGTGCACGAATATGAAAGGAGAGGAAATTCGCGTACATCCTACCAAACATGTGCCTCAGTCCCAAGCACTTCTAAAAATTCATTCTTTCGACGCTGATATCATATATTTTTCTGAAACTTGGCTTTGTTGTAATGATTTACATGTTGAAATTCTTGTTCATAATTATACAATTCACCGGCTTCATAGAATCAAAAGATTTCTCTTCCCAGGCTATTCCTTGCAGTTTTACTTCTAATGTAGAACTTTTAGCCATCAAAGTTGCTCTTGGACATTCTTACTTATTTATCTCCTGCTCGTATATAAGCCCTTCCTCTGATTTTAATGTTTATATGCACCATTTAGCCGAAATTAAATATATATCATCACTTATCTGATCACTTAATGATCACTTTATTGTTTTAGGTCTCCTAAGATCATACTTGGATAGAAGGCAGTTTAAGGTCTGTGTCAGGGACACCTACTCAGCCCCCTGCCAGATGAGGGCTGGTGTTCCGCAAAGCAGCGTGCTTGGCCCACTGCTCTACTCGCTATATAGTACTGCTGATTTACCTAGACCCAATGAAGAACATATGGAGGACCCCTCGAAGGCTTTAATTGCAACATATGCGGACGACATTGCGGTTCTTTATAACTCGAAAAATCACCGAGAAGCAGCAGATGGACTACATAGCTATCTCAATACACTGGCAGCTTGGTGCACTAGATGGAATTTAAAGGTCAATCCCATGAAAACCTCTAACCCCTGCTTCACGCTGAAAATGCTAATTCCCTGCAAGCCTCCTAGTCAGCTTGAGGGAGTAACCCTAGAACAGCCAACAGCCAACTTAGTACCCCTAAAAGGCCCAGAGACCCAAAAGGTAACCAGCGCACTAGTCAGTCCAGTCCATTATGGAGCCAGTAACCGCCAAGAAGAGCGCCTGGACCAAGGTGAAAGGTCGTGGGCAAAAGAGACGCAGTAAACCAGACGCCATTATTGCCAAGGGCGTAGGCGAATGTCAATTTTCTGACCTGCTGAAGGCGGTCAAATCGGACCCAACCTTTCAAAGCATGCGCGATGATGTCCAAGGCATCCGCAAAACGGCGAATGGCAGCCTTCTTCTGCAGCTAAGCAGAGCCCCAGCTCATAGCGAGAGTTCATTGCATGCTGCAGTGGAGAAAGCACTACACGGGATAGCAGAAGTCAGAGCCCTGACAGAACAAGCTAGAGTAGAACTCCGCGACCTAGATGAACTCACTACCAAGGAGGAGATATGTGCAGAGATCGTAGCGAATGTGGAGAACATCAGCCTGGACTGCTTGTCAGTAAAGTCGATTCGCAAGGCACGTGGTGGGCAGCAAACTGCAGTGCTATCACTGCCAGCTGACAAAGCCACGTCACTTTTGGAACTTAGCAAGATCCGGATTGGATGGGTCATATGCCGCGTGCGAACCTTAGTTGACCCAATGCGGTGCTACAAATGCCTAGATTATAGGCACATCGCAGGAAGATGCACGAGCAGCGAGGACCTAAAAGGGAACTGCTTTAAATGCGGCGAGAAGGGCCATGTTGCTAAGACCTGTAGCAAGGATCCTAAATGTATGCTATGCTTTGGAAAGGAACTCCAAACTATGCCCACGCCACCGGCAGCTTCAAATGCCCAGCGTTTAAAGAAGCAGTGCGTCAGGCGAAACACTGAAGTTCCAGCTTAATCTGAACCACTGTAGTACGGCACAAGAACTGCTACTCAAAACAACACAGGAGCTCTCTGTCGACTTGGCTATCCTGAGCGAGCCCTACAGTCCAATGGAAGGCTCCAGATGGGCTATCGACCAATCTGGTAAGGCGGCGCTATGGGTCTGCGGACCCAGCGGGATTCATCTGGATGATGTACGGGCATGCAGAACGTTTGTGCGCGCAAGAGTCAGCGGCCTGTGGATCTACAGCTGCTACCTGGCACCTAGCTTGACGATTAACGAATTTACAACAGCTTTGGACGAGCTGGTGACCGCCGCAGCGAATCGCCGTAGGGTTATCTTGGCCGGCGATTTTAACGCATGGGCAGTGGACTGCGGCAGTATTTGTACGAACACTCGTGGCCGTATACTGCTTGAAACCTTCGCCAACATGGATATTTCCCTGCTAAACACAGGCACCCAACCCACATTTAGTAGAGCCGGCGCAAGCTCTATTATCGATCTCACGTTCGCAAGCAGCTCTCTGTTCAATTCTGCGTCGTGGTCTATGAGTGACGTCTATACGGCTAGTGATCACTATGCAATTATCTACACAGTCGGGGAAAGGACGAGTAGCCAGCGGCATGGGCCGCGCACGTATCACGCGTATCGCATTAACACTTTTAACCCTGCTGCCTCCTCGGAAGCTCTGCCTGCATTGATCCTGGCCGGGAACCCCCACAGTATGGCGCACGTTGCTGTAGCACATCTTCAGGCTGCATGCGATTGGAGCATGCTTAAGAGGAGGACAAGTCCGCGTCATCATGATCCCGTTTTTTGGTGGAACGATGAAATTGCAGAGCTGCGGGTGGCATGTAATCGCGCCAGACGACTCACCCAAAGACTGCGAGGCACACAGGCGTTTCCTTCCCAACTAGCAGATTTTAGGAATTGCAGAAGATCCCTGAAACGAGCCATTCGCAGTAGTAAAAGGAACTGCTTTCTGGAGCTATGCGATTCGGCAGACCACGATCCATGGGGAAAGGCGTACAAATCAGTAGTGAAAAAAATCAACGCAGGTTTACATGTATAACACTATATTAGGTTTATTTTTTTTATTATATATTTTTATCAACAATAGTTCTGTCGTTTATATTAATAAACTTAATATAACAATTTAAACTAAACTTAAAAGATAAGAAAGCCTAAAACAAAGCTGTACAATAACGTCTATTAATGCCTCCGACACATTGGGGGAATTTTATTTGCCAGTTATGCACGATTCACAGCCATATGTAGCCAGAGACATTAAAGACCTAAAAAACTATACAAAAAGTAGATAGAGGTGGAAAAGTAATTCTATTTAACAACTAATTAGAAAAAGTACGAAGTAGAACAAGAAATCAGTTGTGCATCTTGCCAATATGAACGGCAAAAATATTAAGGCGACCTAAGTGGGCTGAGGAGTCAACCTCACCGATAACCAACTTGTGGAGAAAAACTACTCCAAGAACCGACCTACGATTTACTAAGGAAGGAAGGTTTATAAGCATCAGTCTACTAGAGTACGATGAAGGATGAAGGAATTGCTTCTGAACAGACTCAATACTTTCCTGATGGTTTCTATACTGCGGAGACCAAACGTATGAGCGGTATTCAAGCACAGGGCGTACTAGAGCAGTGCAAAGATGCTTAGTGGTATAAGGGTCATTAAATTCCTTGGATCAACGTTTAATGAATCCAAGTAATCCCTTGGCCTTATTGACAATCCTAGATATGTGAAGGTTAAAGTTCAATTTGGAATCAAAAAGAACCCCACCTCAACAGTCGATATACGTTGCAATGGCACATTGTCAATCGTATACGTCCCTAAATGAGGCAATGTTCGATAAAATGTCATGAACTTACATTTAGAGTAATTGAGGTGCAAGTGGTTATCTAAGCACCAAGATTGCATGCAGTTCAGATCATCCTGCAGGCGATGAAAATGAGTATGGTCTTTATAAGTCAGAATAAGTTTCACATCATCAGCATACATAAGAATATGAGAGTGTGACAAGGTAGAGGGGAGGTCATTAATAAATAATGTAAAAAGTAAGGGGCCAAGATGGCTACCTTGAGGCACACCTGATGATGCAAACACGGGCTTAGAAATGTGCGACCTAAGCAAGATCCGTTGGGTCCTATTTTTTAGATAAGACGAAATCCAACTCAAACAAGAGAGAACACTACAGTCGAGCAAGCCCGACAGTGTAATACCCTGTACCCAGGTAAACTTCCGTCACTGAGCTATATGCGACCATAGCAACAGCAAAAAGAGGAAGAAGAAGA